ACTCGTACTCGTCCACTGAATGCTCACCCTGCTGGAGAGCGGCAAACTCCTGTGCCATCCTCTGCTTGAAATGGCGAGGATAGAACTTTTCCTCTAATATCATCTTAAACTGAGCCCATCTCATAGCGTCACGCTCATCCTCAGTGCGTAGACGCCAGTAATCCTCCCACCAATCTCCGGCGGCTCCCTCTATCTGCAGTTCGGCGCACGCCATCTTGTGCGCTTCAGAAATCTTCATAATACGAAAGATCCTCTCCATCTTCTGGATCCACTCGGCCACGGCTAACGGGCCACTCTCCCCAGTGAAACGGGGCTGATCATACATACGGAATCGGCTGACCACGACAGCCTGGTCCTGCTCAACCGGTATCTGGGGATCTCTACGTGGCGGCATTCTGAAGATCCAATTATACTTGAATTGATCAGTATAGCCAATTAAGAAATAGCCATACTAGACTTGAAATAATAAAATAAATAATAAATATCCGAAAACACCTAGCTTGGCTAGAGTTCCGGTATACTTAAACTTTCTATGTTCTGGCTCGTAATGGAGTTCTGACTTAGTCTAGAGTCCTTAGACTTAGCTGTTCTAGAGTTCTGTCTCTAGAGTTATCTGTCTTATAGGTGGATAGTTATCTAGGCTCCATACTTGAACTGAATTTAGCACTTGCAAAACTTAAACTGAGTCAGGTGACTTACCTCAGAGTCGATGCGGATGAGCGTGGCGTGGTCATGCTTTTCAAAACTTTGAAAGTATACAGAAACGCACTCTGCGCTCTAATACCACCTTCTGTCGCACCCCGCCTTACTAGCTTTTTAAAAATCAGAGTAAAATTTTTCTTTTTATTTTCGTAAAGGTCGTGCGAGCTTGGTTTTCGAAAATACTAACTTGCGCAGGATGCCACAGATAAAAAAACAACTTATCTTGCTCACAGACATATAATAAAACATGCAACCAAGCTATCCGCTGCGGATAATGGAATTAAACATGCAATGTCTGAACTGTCTCGCACTGTCTAGTCTGCTAGCGGAAGCATCCGAAATACAGAATGCATGCATACATAACTGAATCAAATACATGATCATAAACCAGGACATAAAAATGTGCGTAAAATATGTCCAACTCTCATGACCACGCTTCGCCACATCTGTGCTCATCCGGCACGCTCGACTCCGTCTCCTGAAAAACACAATGGGGGCGTGAGCAAACCATTATGCTCCGCAAAGACCAGTACTGAATAAAACATCATCTATAATAACGTGTCATGAACATAAATATATAAGAGCTGAAACTGTAACCTTTTCTTTTCTTTCTTTTCTGTTGTCGAAAGACCCTCGACCCTTAGGCTGGCCGCTCGTGTGCACACGCCGATGAGGTATAACGGCCCTCAGGTCGGCCCCCCAACGGTCATCAGTTGGGATATTTACGCCCTTAGGTCGGCCCCCACCTAGATACTAACTATCTCAAACATACCTCTGTCATGGTACAGATATTATCCATGATGTGGAATCCAGTACATGACCCCCACCTGACAACTAAAATCTGAAATCTGACGCAAGTGCGGAAACTGGAGTAGCGGTCGGAGGCTCGACTCTCCTTAGGCTACATAAATATTTAAGCAAAATAATGCTAAGTAAAATGCTTGAATATTTAATTATATGCTAAAAATGCTCAGTTCTATCTGCTCAATTTAACTGGACTGGACTGGCTTGAAAAAATACTAAAATTTCGTAAATAGACTCAGACCGAAAGTCACGAATCAAAACGGACTCGAACCGCCGGTCGAACCGGCCGATTCGTTGGTTGGCTAGACTGCCGGCTCGGCTGGACCGGGCGGTCGGGCGCTGGTTCGGCTGGACCGGCCTCGGCCCCGTGCCGGGCCAGCTGGTGCCCGGGCACGGCGCTGGGCACGGCTGGTGCGGCCGGGCTCGGTCCCT